AATGGGCATCTTCTTTCTGAGAGTATCTCTTTCTTAGCTACTTTGTAAATGCAGATAATAGTAAAAACATGTGAGGACTGAACTCTGATCTCTTTCTTTTGCTAAAAACTCCTCCTAAGGAGGCAGCTGGTCAGGCTGACAACGGTAAATTCCCACTAAGCATCCTACTAAGTGGGGTGGTTACTTCCAACCTGATTCTGTATGGCATTAACACACCTAAGAAATAAAAGCCCCTCTCTTAACTCGACATCCTAGCATATGCCTATCATATTAAAATATCTTAAAGCATCTAGCAGGCCCCTATTAAATTAAACGTCCTCCTGTCTAGACCTCCAGAGTGCTCACACCCTTATCTAAATAAGCATATCCTTTCTGTGTCTAGAATAAGTCTAACTCTCTCAGCCAATTGCCAGCCAAAAAATCCTTAAACCACCTATAACCTATAAGCCCCCCGCTTAGAGATGTCCTACCTTTTGGGCCAACCAATATATGCCTCTCATGTATTAATTGTGACTTGACTGTAACCCTGGTCTCTCTAAAAAGTATAAAACTAAACTAAACCAGGCACAGTGAGCCCACTTGCTCAAGGCTTCTGAGAGTGGCTCCAGTCATAGTCCCAAATTGGCTCAAGATAAACTCCTTCAAATATTAGGCTTAGATTTTTTCTCCACACATACTATTATTATTTTCACCATTTTTTTCCTGTAAACAAGAGCTCATATATTCTTCTCTCTCTCTCCCTCTTATTATGGATTATTATTGCCAAATTAGATTATCACCAATGATCATCCTCCAGGACTCAAATAACTGCCTCCACCTCACTGTAAAAACAGTACTACATGTTTGAGATGAGTATTACTTAATGTCCTGCTTCCTCTACCAATTTATATACCAAACAGGCTATTAGTTGCAGTGGAGCTTAAAAACAAAATGGCTTAGAGGAAGAAAAGTATATTTTTCTTTTCCAGAGTATGTCTGACAATGGAAGTAGGTGATAGCATACTTGTTTGCATTCATTAAGGCCTGGAAAAGGAGTAAAAAAAGAAATGCTTCTATCATATTACAAGAGAAAGAAGAGAGAGAGAGAGAGCATATGGTCTTATGCAACAATCAAATGCTTTGTCTGGAATGAGACATATTACCTGTGTCAAAAATCATGACGGAAGAGTCATAGCCTCAGAACAACACAAAAAGAATAACTGAGGCTTAGAGGACATATAAACCTTCGAAAGAAATACCAATCAGCTGGAATTGAATTGATGGGCACTTGGATTGTTTCCACATCTTTGCAATTTTGCATTGTGCTGCTATAAACATTCTAGTGCAGATGTCTTTTTTATAGAATGTCTTTTGTTCCTTTGGGTAGGTGCCCAGTAATGGGACTACTGGATCAAGTGGTAGTTCTAGTTTTAGCTCTTTGAGGTATCTCCATATTACTTTCCACAGAGGTTGTACTAGTTTGCAGTCCCACCAGCAGTGTATGAGTGTTCTTATCTGTCCACATCTATGCTAACATTTATTGTCTTGGGACCTTTTGATAAAGGCCATACTTGAAGCTCTGACTTCAGTGGGCAAAAGCAATATATGTAACCTAACCATTCGTCTCCCTGTAATATGCTGAAATAAATAAATAAATAAATAAATAAATAAATAAATAAATAAATAAAATAGTCCAAATCAAGAGATAATTGTGACTATGCATTTTTAAAATCTTGGATAAGTTTTTATATGAACAATTTGTTTTTAACTACATTGAGCCTCTCCAGTCAATGTTTTCCAATCTGGTTCTTCCAAAGTATCTCTAGTCTAAAATAAAATTGAAAGAGAGAGAGAAAAAAAGTATAGAATGCATCGAGTTTGATTTAGGCTATGATATATTGCTGTTACTCTACCAATCTCTAAGCTATCTTGCTCTAGATTTATTTTTTGTAAGATAATGACAAATGCTAAGTTTATTTCAGGTCTCTGTTGTAGTATACAAACCCATTCTTAACTTCCCTAAACATAAGTTATAGCTGATGAAGTAAGACAGGCCCAATATAAAATGGAACAGTATAAATATTAGAAAGTGGAGCTTAGAACTCAGAACTGTTATTTACAGATAAAATTACTTATGTAGGAAATCCACAAGAATGTGCCATAAATTATTAGAATAGAAAGTATTCTGATTAGGTGAATTAAAAATCACTCAAAAATATATACAGATCAAAAGCTGACAATAAAAAAAATCTAAAAATATGTGAAAATGAGCTCTTATTTATATGAGTAAAGTACATTTTTGTTGCAACATTACTAATAAACATCTAGAAAAATAACTCAAATATTGATACATGTCAGTTCATATTTAAATTCAATGCAATAGGCACAGAAAGTTTTTAGTGACTGTGTTAGTATGTACTCAAATGAATCAATTTGTTCTATTGTCTTGTCTCTAAGTGCATAAATTTCAAATTAATGCCTGTTACATTAACCAAATAATCTGATTTATTTTCTGTTTATTATGAATCTCCCTTTTCCTGCCATTTTTCTATAAAAGTGATATTTTATATCTTACATGTAATGCTTTACAAATTACCAGATTTCATTGGATCCTCAGAATATTGCAATATGAGGGGATTTTTAAAAGTTCATGGAAAACATATTTTATAAAGAAATCTATGAATATATTTCAAAATTTTTTACACCAAAGTAAACCGATACTAATTTGTTACAATATATCTTAGCAGGATCTAGTTTGAGACACTAAGAAGGATAAGACATCAATTTGAAAATAGTCCCTATCACAGCAACGTGAATTACATTAAACTTGAATAAAGAACAAAAGACATATTTATAGTGAAGCTTGAGTTAAAGAATGGTGAAATCATTGATGCTTTATGAAAACTTTATGGCAACAATGCCCCTCAAACCAGTAATTTACAAATAGATACCTCATTTTAAGGAAGGATGAGATGACATTGAAGATGAAGCCTGCTGTGGCAGACCATCCACATCAATTTTGAAGGAAAAAATTAATGTCATTTTTGCCCTAATTGAAAAGAAATAATGATTAACACCAAAAATAAATAGCCAACACATAGACATCTCAATTGGTTTGGCTTACAAAATTCTGACTGAAAAATTGAAGTTGAGCAATCTTCCACTTGATGGATACCAAAACTGGTGTCTAGATCAGCTACAGACAAAAGCAGAGGTTTCAGAAATTTTAAACAAGTGTGATGATCCTGAAGCATTTCTTTGAGAAGTTGTAACAGGAGAGAAAACATGGCTTTAGCCGTATGATGCCTAAAACAAAGCACAACCAAAGCAATGGCTACCAAGAGGTGGAAGTGTCCAGTCAGAGCAAACTCAGACTGGCCAAGAGCAAAGGCCATGGCAACAGTTTTTTGGGATGTTAAAGGCATTTTGCTTGTTGACTTTATGAAGGGCCAAAGAATGATAGTATCTGGTTATTATGAGGTTGTTTTGGGAAAGTAAGACAAGGTTTTAGGGGAAAAGCCCTTGGGAAAGCTTCAGCAGTGAGTTCTCCTCTATCACACAACAGTTCTGCTCATTCATCTCATCAAATATGAGCAATTTTGTGACAATTTTGATAGGAAAATCAAATAGGAAATCGATAGGCCTTCACCTTGAAGTCTTGATTTGCCTCCTGATTTCTTTTTGTTTTCTAATCTTAAAATATATTTAAATGGCACCCAGTTCTCTTTAGTCAATAATGTAAAAAAAGACTTGTTTGCTATTGTTAAATTCTGAGACCCTCAGTTCTTTAGCAATGGACTAAATAGATAGCATCATTGCTTATAAATGTGCCTTGAACTCAATTGAGCTTATGTTGAGAAATAAAGTTTGTATTTCTTATTTCTATTAATATGTTTTGATTACATTTCCCACACAGTTTTTGAAGTTCCCTTGTAGAAATTGCATTGACATTTTATAGAAGAAGAAGTAGTAGCAAAGAGATGTTGATCTTGTTAATATAAATTAGGTAACAAGTGGCCATATGAAATTGAAATATAAGACCTCTGATTCCAAATTTTATTCTCCTTTGAGTAAATAATTCATTTTGTTCACTGGTAGGTGGCTCCCTTCATCTTGTCAGCATGTGGAAGGAGGAAATTCCCAGCCTGCTTTGTGGCTGGATGGGGCCGTGTGAATGAGCAGTGACATGTTCAAATTCCTATTTAATTGCTCCTTTACATATGGTGCTGTGCCTGGCTAAATTTAAGATAATATATGTCCTTGCATGATTATTAGAGATATTAGCTCTTTGAGGGACCTAGAAGCCTACCCATATTTTAGACATGTAGTTTTTAGAAGACAAAAAACTTTGGTGTTCAAGCCACTGAGATTTGGAGTGGTTTATATCTTTAGCAGAATACCAACATCTATTTTAACAACTATTTCCTAGGTTTTTCTATAAATCAGATTTATACTTTCTATATTTTTCAATTTAATTAAAACTCTTCATTTCCATTTAAACCATGTCTCTATATTTTACAAGAGGATGGCAACAAATACAACTGTAATCAGAAACAATGTAAAATTACCTTTTCTATTTCAGGCAGAAAAAGACTTTTCTGCAGGAAGAGAAGATGTATCTCTATATCTATATCTATCTATTTGTGAACACTCAAAATTTTAAGCCCTGAATGTATGTGAAATAGTTCAGTGGTTTTCAAGTGGAAACTACTCTTAAATACCATTTCAAAGTATAATTATTTTAAATGTTAATATTCATATATATATATATACACACACACACACATACATATATATTCATACATATACCTTATAAAATGAATGATATTGAGCACATTCCCTCTTCACACTGGCCTGGAGGCAAGCTTTTTAAAAGGTGTATAGCTCAGCCACCAGAGGGACTGTGGAGCTGATGAAATCAATTATGTTATGAAACACCTTTTAGTTTCAAAGAGAAAAAATAACTGAAGAATTTTATTGTCAGCTATAACTGTTATAATGCTTATATTTTTCCTTTTCAGTTTGGAAACATTGGAGATATCTGAAGATTAACCACTATGACTTCTTCAGTGAAGAGGTGGGTGAGAATAACACTAGCCAGTGTGTTTGAAAAGAGGAGCATGTCTTGACTGAAGAGCCAGCAGAAGAGCTATGCAGTACATAACAGAGGTTTGGGAAGGTGTGTGCAGCAAGAATTAGACTAACTGAGCAAATTCAGAGTTAGGTACAATGTATAGAGACACTCAGTGAACTGAAAAACTTCATTCCTTGTATATGACATCTTTGAAGCAAAAAATACAAAATTGCACACCAGGTGTAATAATGACAAATGAAGCAGTCAGAGAAACTCACCATGGCCCCTGACAAAATGAAAAAGCACAGAAGGCATTTTACAGATGTTGAAATTATGAAGAAATAAAGCAGGCACTTTTATCCTACTCACTAAAAATAGTGACAACAAGTAAAGTTTCCAAAGCATCCTATATTTCTCCTTTGTGTCTCAATGTGTTCAATGACCAGAAATACAGAAGACAGAACGAATATCTAGAGTTTATATCTCTCCAGAACAAGGATTTATTTTGAATTTTTAAAAAAATCAATTCAAGTCAGACATTTTTACATTATTTGCTAAAACCTTAGCCACAACCTCTGTTCTATCTAGGAAAGAATTCCTGATGCCATTGCCTGATCTAAGACATGGCATTAATACCCTTAGGCACATCCTCTGAGTTTCATGTTCAACTATTATGATTTTTTTTTTCTTTCCAGACTGATGGAGGAGAAAACTTTACAACTTTATAATTTCTCTCAACTCAATCAGTCCATATATTAATATATGTTCTTAATAACATTATTTTCCAAGTAATGGTTTCTGTATGGAATAATCTCCATTTGATTCCATACAACAAACTGCCATAACTCTGACTGCCATAGGATAGCAGCAGCGACAATAAAACAATAACAGATATGTTAGAGGCACACTTAGCAACTCACAGAAACTAAGGATAGAAATAAATGCCATAATTGGACTCTAAAAGAGATGGAGAACTACCAAAAACCTAGGAGCAGATCTCTTGGTCTTCCCTTGTCTCTGGTTTACTCTTCCCTCTTATACTGACCATCTTTTTTCTGTTTCTCAGTTCATGTGACTACACAAAGCCATCAATTGCAATTGTATATATGTTCAATTCCAGCCACCAAGAGGGAAACTAGCATCTGCTTCTCATTAACATTTCTTAACTTTCCAGAGAAGATCACTAATTTGCCCACTGCTATGGTTGGGATATTTGATCCCTTCAAACCTCATGTTGAAATTTGATCCCAATGTTGGAAGTGAGGCAGGTCTAATGGGAGGTTTTTGGATCATGGGGGTAGATCCCTCCTGAATGGCTTTGTGCTAGCCTCAAGGTAATTATTTTCTGAGAGAGCTAGTTGTAAAAAGAGCCTAGCACCTTCCGGACCTCCATCCTTGCCACGTGATCTTTGTGCATGCCGGCTCTGTCTCACCTTCTGCCGTGAGTGGAAACAGCCTGAAGCCCTCACCAGAAGCAGATGCTCTTGCACAGCTGGCAGAATTGTGGGCCATATAAATCTTTTATTTTTATAAATTACCCAGCCTCAGATATTTATTGCTTTATAGAACCACAAATGGACTTAGACACCCACCTTGAGCCAGACTATCCCACACTAACCACATTTTGCTAATGTTGGACTCCATGAGAACTATGTGAGCAGGGGGGTTGAAGTTTCTAGAACACTAGTGGTCCTGGAAGAGAAGATAATAAATGCCTGGGACAATTTAGAATTCAACACCTGCAACAATCTCAGAATCTTATTGTCCCCTCTAGCTTCTGAGAGGACCCTCTTTATCCATTATATTCTCTGGCTACATCTGAGGAAAACAGAAGAGAATGTGCTTTCATTAAGGGCTGAGCAGCTCTCTAATCATCCTTCCTGCCTGTAAAATGTTGGAAGGCCAAGGATGCTATGGGTCGAGTTGTGTCCCTTCAAAAATTCATATGTTGAAGTCATAATTTACAGTACTTCCATATGTGGCTTTATCTGGAAAGACATTGTTGAGGATGTAATTAGGTAAGATTTGGTCATTCTGGAGTGGAATGAGACCTTACTCCAATGACTGGTGTCCATATAAAAGAGGGAAATTTAGGCAGAGTCACACATAGTAAGAAAATGGTATAAAGGCACAGAGGGAGAAGATGGCCATCTATTAAGTCAAGGAGAGGGGCCTGGAGCAAATCCTTCTCTCACAACCCTCAGAAGGAGCCAACCTTCCAACACCTTGATCTTGGGCTTCTACTCTTCAAAGCTGTAATAACAATAAATTTCTGTTTTTTAAGTCACTGATTTTGTTGTACTTTGTTGCTCCAGTCGTAGCAAACTATTATGAAGGGTTACTTTTAATTTCACATTGTTGCTGTATCTTTTGGTTCAAGTTGATGTTACTTTGGTTAGTTACATTCTGGCAAACACAGAGTTGGCTTATTATCAACTTGGTTTCAACCAACTGCATGTACTTATCTCCACATTCAAAGTTATTTTTTATTTTTTTCCTATATTTTGCTGCTCTCTTTCATCCATGTTGCTCTCTCTGGAATTTAACTACAAGGTGCTGTGAGTATATCAGTCTTACATGAAAAGTCATCCTCAGTGTCTTTTCTCTTAGCCGTTTTTTCCACTTGAAAGTATTTAGGACATATCATCTGACTCCATTTCTTGCCAGAAGGTTTAATTTTCATCAGTCTTTGTGACTCCAAGCATTTCTCAAGTTTTTCTTTTATGGCTTCTGGTTGAAAAAAAATTGTCTCTTCCTATACAATAAGAACCAAATTTCTTGACTCTCTTTTTTCTCCTTTTAATCATATTTGTAAATGGGCATCTTCTTTTCTGAGAGTATCTCTTTCTTAGGCTACTTTGTAAAATGCAGATAATAGTAAAAACATGTGAGGACTGAACTCTGATCTTTTTCTTTTGCTAAAAACTCCTTCCTAAGGAGGCCAGCTGGGTCAGGCTGACAAACGGTAAATTCCCACTAAGCATTCCTACTAAGTGGGGTGGTTTACTTCCCAACCTGATTCTGGTATGGCATTAACATCACCTAAGAAATAAAAAGCCCCTCTCTTAACTCAAGCATCCTAGCATATGCCTATCATAAATTTAAAATATCTTAAAGCATCCTAGCAGGTGCCTATTGTAAATTTAAAACGTCTCCTGTCTAGACCTCCCAGAGTGCTCACACCCTTATCTTAAAATAAGCATATCCTTTCTGGTCTTCTAGATAAAGTCTAACTCTCTCAGCCAATTGCCAGCCAAAAAATCTTTAAACCCACCTATAACCTATAAGCCCCCGCTTAGAGATGTCCCACCTTTTTGGGCCAAACCAATATATGCCTCTCATGTATTAATTTGTGACTTTGACTGTAACCCCTGTCTCTCTAAAAATGTATAAAACTAAACTATAACCCAGGCACAGTGAGCCCACTTGCTCAAGGCTTCTTGAGAGTGGCTCCAGGTCATAGTCCTCAAATTTGGCTCAAGATAAACTTCTTCAAATATTTCAGGACTTAGATTTTTTTTCCTCCACACATACTATTATTATTTTTCCCCAATTTTTTTTCCTGTAAAACAAGAAGCTCATTATATTCTCTCTCTCTCTCTCTCCCTCATTATTATGGATTAATGTATTGCCAAATATTTAGATTATCACCAATGATCGTCCTTCCAGACTCAAATAACTGGCCTGCCACCTCACTGTAAAAACAGTACTACATGTTTGAGATGAGGTATTACTTTAATGCCCTGCTTCCTCTACCAATTTATATACCAAACAGGCTATGTTATGTTGCAGTGGCAGCTTAAAAAGCAAAATGGCTTAGAGCAAGAAAAGTATATTTTTTTCTTTTCCAGAGTATGTCTGACAATGGGAAGTAGGTGATAGTCACACTTGTTGTGCATTCATTAAGGCCTGGGAAAATGGAGTAGAAAAATAAGAAATGCTTCTATCATATTACAAAGAAAGAAAGAGAGAGAGAGAGATCATATGGTCTTATGCAACAATCAAATGCTTTGTCTGGAAATGAGACATATTACCTGTGTTCAAAAATCATTGACCGGAAGAGGTCATAGCCTCAGACAACTACAAAACGAATAACTGAGGCTTAGAGGACATATAAACCTTCGAAAGAAATACAATCAGTGTTATATTCGAGATTCACAAGGCCGCAGGACAGAGAGACTGAATCACCGAGGCTGTAATTATCAACAGGAGTTTTATTGTCTAGCTGGAGCTAGGGTCCAAGCCCCAGAGTGCCAGCACAGTGGCCTCTTCTCCAGGCAGGGACGCCCCTTTGTGTGTTAGAGAGTCTTTTATAACTCAGTTGTTTACACACTGGTCATGCATCCGCCCCCACAGTGATTCTTACTTCATCCTGCCCCTGATAGGCTCTAACTTGTTCCGGGTCCTAGCTGAGAGACTCCGGTTTCTGTTCTTGTCTTTCCTCTGCATCCCATAATGTACTCATAATGCCTTGCGGTTAGCAAATAAGCAGTAAACGAAGCTAGAAGGTGTCCACTGTCCTGATAGCCCAGTTCTTACAATCAGTACTTTAAACATTATTTCTGCTTCCAAATTCTTTATTGCTATTCTCATCACACCATTTTTCTCAGGATTATACTATCCTGAGACATTCTCAAAAAACAAAACAAACCAACAACAAGACCGAAAAGAAAGAATGATCAACTTACAAGGCAAAAGAATAAAACTTAACAGAATGTATCAGTACATCAGGGACTGGGATCAAAAGTGCATCCAAAAATTATATATATATTGAAATTTTACTATGTGCCTGATACTTTGCTAATTTATTTCAGTAGTCATAATTAATTCTCATGTAAAAATACACAGAAAAATCACAGCAAAATACCTATGCACAAACAGCTATGCAGTTTAATTTCTCTGAAATAGATTCTTTTTCTTTTAGATATAGTGGTGATTGAAGAAAGAGTCAAATATAATTCATTTATGTAGGTGGATGAAAAAATGGAACATAGCATACAAGTCTGTGGCTCACACAACTCACAGGCTTGGGGCCAATCTAGACACATCATTGCTTCCCATGATCCCAAGCATGTAAGGTGACCCTGGCTGCATCCATGAGAAGTGCTTCAGCAGAAAGTTCTTGGCCTAAGGGTCCTGAGAATAATAAATGCATTCTCTCCAGATACAGATTCCTCTCCCTCTGCAACTTGCCTAGTGAGCTGAAGTGTCCTTGATGGGGGTGTTAATAGCCCTCTTTAGCCTGAAGGCAATTTTGCTTTTCATAGTCAATAGACTCTAAAGACTTTGAAAAGAAAGCATAGCCTGAAACTCATTTTAAACTTGTACCAACTTTTCTTGGTCTCAGAGCAGCCTTCGCCTGGGAATAAATTGTGTTTTCGATTATATATTTTCATGTCACTCCCTTCTGCTAGGAATTTATTTATTTATTTGTTTTTCCTATTGTCCCTTTCTCTTCTACTTTCACAACTCTCTTATGTTAAAAGAACTTGTAACCTTCTTGGATCTTCTCTACCTCCTGGTAATGCTTTTTCACTTTTTTTTCCTTTTTTGCCATGGACCTCCTTCAGTGTACTGTGGTTTATTGTGATTGTCTTATTTCCCTTAATGCTAAATCATCTGTTATTTAATTCCTCAAATTCTGTCTTTTGACTTCATGTCTCCCTTGAAAATATTTTAGTGATTTCATTTATTCATCCTTGCATCAAATACTTATTGAACACCTTGCTCTTGTAAGATACTGGGCTATCAGGACAATGGACACCTTCTAGCTTCTGTTTACTGCTTGTTTGCTAACCGCAAGGTATTATGAGTACATTATGGGATGCAGAGGAGAAAGACAAAGGACACAGAAACCTGAGTCTCTCAGCTAGGGCTTGGAACAGGTTAGAGCCTATCAGGGGCAGGATGAAGTAAGAATCACTGTGGGGCCGGATGCATGATCAGTGTGTAAACAGCTTAGGTATAAAAGGTCACTAGCACACCAAGGGGGGTCCCTGCCCCCTGAAGAATAGGCCACTGCGCTGGCCTGGGGGCTTGGACACTAGCTTGAGCTAGACAATAAAACTCCTGTTGATAATTACAGCCTTGGTGACTCTGTGTCTCTCTGTGCTGCGGCCCTGGGAATCCCAACTATAACACTCTGTTATAAGCAAGGGCTACATAGTGGCAAGTCTAACAGATACAGAATAAGACCCTGTGCTAGTTTACATATATAAATAAATATAAATAACATTTTAATATGTAAATAGGAATTTCAGTTAGTTCTACAGACTAGGGGTCAACTGACTTATGCCTTTAGGCTAAATCAGCCTGTTTTTGTAAATAAAGTTTTATTATGTTGTTACTCAACTGGGGACAGTTTTGCCTCTCAGGAGACATTGGTGATGGCTGGATACATGTTTGATTTTCACAATTTGGGGTTGTAAATGGCAACTGGTAGGTATACTAGACATGCTGGTCAACTTCCTATAACTCTCAGGATCTTCCCCCTCAGCAAAGAGTTATCCAGTCTAAAATATTAATAATGCAGATGTTAACTATGCATGTGTATGTACAACCATGCTCATTCATTTGCCTGTTTCTATGGCTGCATTTCTGCTATCATGGCAGATTTGAAGCTGTAACAGAGACCTATGGCCTCTAGAGCCTGCCCTATTTCATCTCTGGCCTTTATAGGAAATATGTATTGGCAGCTGATAAAAACTAAAATTAAAAGGAACAATGAGATGTTGTAACAGAAGGGCAAGACTAAGATGGAGGTGTAATTATCATCAAATGTTTCTGTAATAAATATAAATTAAATAAAGTCTTGTAAATTAGTATACATTGACGAGGTGAACAGAGAAGGGAAGAATATTTCAGCATTAGGAAAACTGTGACAGACTTGCAGCAGGAAAGAACATGACTATTCCATCAGCTGGATTTGGATGCAGGGTGGTGAGAGAGGAGTATGTGTGAGAAGAGACTAAAAAAGCAAAAAGGGTCAGGTCATCCAAACTGTACTGAAAAATTTGGATATTTTAAGTGGTCATGAAAAGCATTTTTTCAAAATCATGGCAATGTATATAATGGACTTATACTTTAAAAAGATCAGACTGATAGCTGTATGAGTAGCTTAGCAAAGAAAGATGGGTAGAATTATATATTCAGGGTAGGAAGCAATAATGTATTCTGCAAATA